GCATGAAGACTAGATAAAGTCTTAGAACACTAGATATGGAGGTACAAGTTGATGAAGTAGTATTATGCATAAGCCTCCAAAGCATAAGTGTGATAAAATTTTGTAATATGACATTTTTTACTGTCTTAATAAATTATATAAGTGACATAATCGATTATATAAGTGACATAATCGATTATGAAAGTGTAATAATCGATTATGATGCATCAGAAATGGGAAAACGATTTTCTCTCTGTCATAATCGATTATACTGGTAACATAATCAATTATGGCAGTTCAAATTTGAAAAATATATATGTTTTTAAAGAATAAATGTTTTTAAATACATCCTGATTTTTCTCTACGAAATTATTAATGACCAACGACTATTTTTTTTATGTTATTTTCCTATTTAAATAAATTTTGAGGAAAAAAATACAATTACAGAATTCGAAAATTCAATTTACATTCAATCAATTTTGATAAAAGAATTCTGAGCAAGGCAACAAAACACTTTTAGGTTTTTTTAGAAAACTTTTCTATACTGCCTTCTGCGCTTTTATTGGTAATCACACTGTATTCTTGGAGTTATCATTCTACAGGCTTCTACAATTTGTTGTCTCCATTACCAGGTGTGATTGTTCTTATTTTCTTTGCCTACAAACTAAGGGTTTTCTCGTGGGAACTGTTTCTTGAGAAGTGTGTTTCTATATTCATCCTTTGATTTGTTCAGAGGAGGTGTTCATCCCTAGTGTGATTCTAAGGAAGTGTTCATCCTTTATGGGTTGGTTGCAAAGGAGGTGTTTTTCATCGTTTAATTTGTTCGAGGAAGTGTTCATCCTTAGTGGGATTCTAAGGAGGTGTTTTCATCCCTTTGATTTGTTGAGGGAGATGTTCATCCTTAGTGGGATTCTAAGGAGGTATTTTCATCCCTTTGATTTATTCGGGGAGGTGATAATCCTTTGTGGGTTACAGAGGACGTGTTTCCTTTCAAGTGTGATTCTTGAGAGGTGTGGCTTTCCTTTGTAGGAACTGTTCATTCTTTGATTTGTTCAGAGGAGGTATTCATCTCTAGTGGGATTCTAGAGAGATGATTGTCTTTTTAATTAGTTTGTTTTTTTACTAGTTCTTCTACAAGGTTGATTGTAATTTGTGAACTGAATTTTAAAGATAGTGAATTGGGTTGTTTCTCCCGTATTAAAGGAGACAGGGCACTGGATGTAGGGTTGGCTTGACCCAAACCAATATAAATTTTTGTGTGTTTTTCTCTTCCTTATACCTCTGTGCTTACATTTACTTATTTTCTTCCCTTTATTTCTCTGATTATATCACTTCCGCTTTATCTGTATTTTATTTGATAATTAAAATTGAATTAACAAATTATTGGATATCTTAAATAAATAAATTTTTAATTTGGCATCTAATTTAATTTGTACATCTATTCACCCCCCTCTAGATGTCATTTGTCTAACAGCTTGATCCTTGTCTAAGCACTTAAAGAGAGAACATGAGAATCCTTTTTAAATAATTATCCATAGTGTAAGATAATAAGTGTCATTGTTCTTTTCATTTTCCAAGCTTCATCTAAGTTACTCAAAGGCACTCCATTTTTCAAAGTTGTCAATCCATGTTAACTTAGTTGGGTCGATATGAAAGACAACACTATGATCCCAACTCAACAATTTTAATGTAATCCTATAATAATGTCTTGTGTTGACTAGATTTTTTTGTATTGACTAGTTTTGAGAGGACATTAGCTTGGTCATTTTGCTCTCATGGTATATGTTCTATTTCGAATTGATCTAAATCATTTATCAATTTTTTTACTATATATATATATATATAATAATAATAATAATAATAATAATAATAATAATAATACTTTTGTCTAAAAGGTTCCTTGGCTTGGAATTCTCCATTGATTTTGAAGCACTTGGTGGATTTGATGAAGACATAGATATAACTTAGGTTGTGAGTGTGTAGATAATTGGGTTTTTAAGCTTAAGCACTTAATCTCTTGATAGGCCATTATATTTTGTGATAAGCACCTTAAAATGTTGCATCTCATTGAAAATCATTTTTC